GGGATAGAGATGGAGATGGAGGAAGAAGGGGAGAGAGATGGCACAGCGCAGCTCCCACGCCGGACTCCAATGCACGTACTCCAAACTGTCAGAATGCAGAATGAATCTGAAAACACACAACAGCTGGGGTATACCCCAGCGGACTGACGGGACTGGACTGGATTGGCGGGTACCGACAGAGGTACCGGCCTGGACTGGACTGCCCCGAATACAACACAGGCCTATGAGGACAGGCCAAGGGGCTGGTCTCACAGGCCAACCAGAGGTCCGCTACATGGATCAGCAAGTGACTCAGATTCCCAGGCTGTCTCACCACCAGCTGCAACTGCATCACCTGTTGATACAGAAGTTGCGGCCCTGACTGAGGTTGTACTGGCGGTTTTGCAGAAGAAAGCCCCATCCAGCACAGCCTCAACCAGCAGCAATTTGACTCCCTGAGCCCTTCCACCCTTCCCTGGCATGATCTCAAGATCCAGGAAGGGGTGTGGAGAAGCAGGAAGGATAAGGAGGTTTGTCTGCGATGTGAGGGACAACACTATCTGAAGGACTGCCGTTACATGTCAGGCCCGGGGTCACAGTCAAAAAACTGAAGCAGACCCTAGGGGCAGCAGCTTCCCCTAGTGTTGCAAACTCGTCTTCTGCAGAAGGTGAATCTGCAGCTGCTTCAGTAGATAGGCCTTGTGTTGGAGCTGTGCGGGCAGCATCCTTTTGCTATCAGGATTCTGACCCGGATCAAGAACTGGAGGAGCATGAGGCTCAGATGTTTGCTTCCCTCTTCCTTCATCTAAAGGAACAACGAAAAACCAAATTTGAACTCATCTTGCTTCAGCCTTTGATCAACCACACCAGAATCAAAGGTTTGCTGGATTGTGGAGCTACCTGAAACTTTATGCCACCAAATGCAATTAAGAAACTGCATCTGGGCCTAAAGGTAGAGACACTACAGCAACCGCTGCAGGTCCAGATAGGGGACTCCACTACTCTCACTATCAGGGAGAAGGTCAGGGGCATCCCTGTGACCTTCGATACTCCTAGAGAAGTCAGACATAATATGAACTTCTATATTTTTCCCTAATCTTGCCCCTTTGATTTGGTGTTCTCTATGCAGTGGTTACGGGCAGTCAACCCTAGGATCGACTAGCAGATCCCTAAGGTTGAACTCCCCAATGTACAGGGGGTGTATCAGCCATTCATGATTGCTGCTGACCACCACCCCAAGACTTCGTGCTACTGTTTACGAGCGAGGGATTTTTATACTGTCTCCCGCCAGTATGACCATGAGCGTCTGTTCTTGGCACTGTTCAAGCAAACAGACGCTGCAGCTGTTCCCTGTCCTCCTGAAGTCCAACAGGTTGTGGACCAGTATGCCGATCTGATGCAGGAGCCTGTTGGGTTACCCCACCGGCCAACCAAGCATCACATCGAGTTGTTGCATGAAGCGGTCCCTCCAAAGGGACGCATCTACAAGATGTCCCCTGTTGAGCTTGAGGAGCTCAGAAATCAGCTTAAGACCCTTATCAGCAAGGGTTGGATCAGACCTAGCACATTTGAGTTTGGTGCGCCTGTTCTCTTTGTTCCCAAAGGGAATGGAGAATTCAGAATGTGCATCGAACAAGGGTCTCAACAAAATCACGAGGAAGAGTACAAAGTCTCTCCCTCGTATTGATGACCTTCTGGATATGGTGCAGGACTGCACATTGTTCAGCAAAGTCGATCTCAAATCTGGCTATCAGCAGATTGCGATGGCAGAGGAGGATGTCCACAAGATAGCCTTCAAAACCAGGCATGGCACCTATGAATACCTGGTGATGTCGTTTGGACTTTGCAATGCCCCAGGCACTTTCCAGACTCAGATGCAACGCATATTCAGGCCTTACTAGGACAAGTTCATGGTTGTATACCCGGATGATATTCTGGTATTCAGCCGAACTGCCAGGGAACATGCGGAGCACCTAGGTCTGGTTCTTCGGGCGTTACGTGACAGCCAGTACAAGATTAACAGAGAGAAATCCTCTTTTGGATTTCCCTCTGTCATCTACATGGGTCATGTAATCTCTGGGGATGGTCTGGCCCGTGAAGCCGACAAGGTTGGGGCTATTCAGGATTGGCCTCAGCCACAGACAGTGAGGGATGTACGGTCCTTCATGGGTTTGGCCTTATACTACATAAAGTTTGTCAGAAACTTTTCTGCAGTGAATGCACCCTTAACCAACCCAACAAACAGGGACACTCATTTTCTTTGGTCTCTTCCCTGTCAGTTGGCCTTCACACGAATCAAGAAGGCCTTGATTGGTACGCCAGTGCTGAAGTTACATGACCCCACTCTGCCATTCATTCTTACCACTAATGCTAATCACTATGGCATTGGGGCGGTTCTTTAGCAAGATGATGGGAATGGTCTGTGGCCCATTGAGTTCATGAGTAAGAAGATCAAGACCCAAAAGCTGCAGAACTCTACCTACGAGAAAGAGCTATATGCTCTGGTTTGCGCGCTAAAGCATTGGAAACACTTTCTCCTAGGCAGACACTTCAATATCTTTTCAGATCACTCCACCTTGTAGTGGATGAAGTCCCAGGGAGAGTTAAATGATAAATTAGCATGCTACATTCAGTTCATTGATCTGTTTGACTTTGAACTGAAACATAAGAAGGGCTGCTACAATAAAGTAGCTGACGCCGTCTCTCGTAGGCCTGATGCTTTTGCGTTGATCTCCTCTACTCACTCCTTTGGAGAGGAGACCCACCAGACCATTGCCCGGTTACTGCCTCAGGACCCGACTTATGGACCCATAGACAGGAATCTGCAAGCAAATCCCAACTGTGAGTCAGGCTATGCCTTGAGCTCAGGCTTGCTGTATACTTACAACAGGGGCGAGGAGCGCTTGTGCATTCCCCAAGACCAGCAACTGAGGACTCTGCTGATGTCAGAGTGTCATGATGCACGCGGCCATTTTGGGTTCCTAAAGTCATACACCGCCCTGTCGCAGCGCTTCTTCTAGAAGGAGATGTGGAGTGATCTACTGCACTATATTGAAACCTGTGAGCTCTGCCAGAGAAACAAAGGTCCAACATATACCTCCTCTAGGACTGCTCAAACCCTTACCTATACCTGAGGGTCCAGCTGAATCTGGGTCTATAGACTTTACAAATCTAGGCAAGACCACCCCTCATGGCATGCGCCAGGTAATGGTCTGGGTTGACAAAGTACGCAAAGTTCATCCCCTTGCCAGAGGTAGCTAGGGTCCCCGCTGTCAGAGCAGCGTTTTCAGAGAGGTGGGTCACTCACCATGGACCGCCACTTCTATAGTTCGTAAATGAGATCCACGCTTCTGCACCAATGAGTGGCAATCCTACTGTAAGGACTACTTGCACTCACGATTAGACATGACTTTTGGTCATCATCCTGAAGCCAATGGTCAGGCTGAGGTGATGAACCAAGTCTTATTCCAGCTGCTGTGTCCTGTCATCTCTCAAGATGAACAGGACTGGGATCTCCACCTGGCTCGTGCACAACTTGTCTATAATACCTCTATCCACTCCTCAACTGGGTTCAGTCCATATCGTTTATATTGGGGACGTGAACCGCGACAGCCTCTTGATGACATCATCAATAAGGCTAAGTCTGATCTGACTCTTGCCACAGCGGAGTTTGCCAGACACTATAGAGTCGATGTGGAAAGGGCACGGGCGAACTTGTTCAAGGCCCAAAACGCCATGATTGAACAAACTAATCGCCACCGACGTCGTTCCCTCATTCGTACTGCCTATTACGTCTGGGTAGCCAGTTCAGAGTTGTCGAGGGAAGAGGATATCTCTCCCAAGTTGTTGCCACGATACCTGGGTCCGTGGCAGGTGTTACATACAGTGGGCTCCGATCCTTTTAGCCCGTCGTATGTTATCGACGTCCCACTGCATCTATAGACCTATCCGGTCTTCCATGCATCTAAGCTGCTTCCTTTCATGCATTCCCAGACCGGCCCCCTCAGTTTGGTCCTGCGATCCCTGGCGAGGGATATGACGTGGGGTCCATTGAGGACAAATGGGGCACTAGCCTCGACAGACAGTATCTTGTGAAGTTTTGTTTCCAGCCTCATACAGAGGATAGGTGGTTCACCAGGAACGAACTTCTCAAGACAGCAAAGTCTGTAGTTCTGCGTTACGAGGCGCCTCAGAAGGGTTCACTTCCTCGCCGGTCTCCTCGTTTGCACCCCTAGCTCGAAGGTCCCCGCTCCCTAGGGGGGTAAGCCTGCAATGACTTGCTGACTTTGACTGCCGAGATCTGACTGCGAGGCTGTACAGTAACAGCAGTAGGGTTAGATTCGTAATTTTGTTTGTGTCAGGGACCAACTGAGAGTTCAGTGCTGACGAAAATTCGCAAGGGACATATCTGCAATTTCTGGAAAATTACAGGCCCGCAGTTCCCTTAGACCGCACTGTAAATAGCAGGCCCGGGCTATCACTAGGATGGGAGGCCCTATGGCCTAGGCCCGTAGCATGAGCGCCTATAGCCGGTTAGGTAGAGGCCCTAGAGCGCCTATCACTAGGTTGTTGGGAAACACTTCATGTTATCTCCACACCTGTGCATAGTGTTTTGCTGCGTACTCTGTTTGTGTGCAGTGTGTCCTCTATCTCCTCTCCCCTTCTTTTTATGCATGTATGGGTGTGCGTGAGATTGTCTGCGTGTCAGTGTTGGTGAAAATCGTCAGACAACCAAGTTCATAACATGGGCCTTCTTTTGGCTGGTGCTGCCAGTCATTTTGTTTCCAGTATGCCGACCCCCGAAATTTGCGGCCACGCGCTTGGCTCGCCGGAGAAAAATAGCAGGCGGATGCACTGGTGGTTTAAATGGAGATCTCTCGCATTCAACAAAAACTAGCAACCTGATATGCAATGATAAGGAAGCAGGTTGGTTAGTTCTCCTTGATGACGATCAGGATTCATTTCATCGATGTTAACCCACAGCAAACAAGTAGTGCTGAATGGAGAAATCGGATACACACCTTCAGTCTTTTCATGACCCGTTCCTCTCGCAGCATACTCTGAGAACCAAACACTGCCCCGAGATAGTACGGCCCTGACCTTGTAGACCTTTCCTTCACTTGCTTACTAAGTGGCATCTCATGTGCAGTGACCACCTGACCAGAGGATGACTGCACAAGTGCTGGCTGAATCTGCTGTTGAAGAGATGCAGGCTGAGGATTTGATAGCAGCAGTGGTGGCAACTCTACCATTTGACCCTCCCTTCGGCCTTCCATGTACATGGAGGAATCATCACGAATGTCACCGATTGACTTCCCACTTATCACATGACCTGAGGAAGGAGAGGCAGGAGGGCAGGGCATAACCAACCCACCAGCTCTTTGAGGGTCTTGTGTGGGAGGAGGGAAAGATTGGATCGAATGCGGTGGCTGGAAGTTTTGCGTAAGAGCAGGATCCACTGAATTCTCCAGAAGAGAAACAGATCCATGGGTCGCCCCCATCATTGTTGGCGTCAATGAGGATTCAGAGGCAACTAATGCTGAGCCTGGCTGACCGCTCTTTTGCAGCTGTTGTCTCTTAGGACTTGGCTGTGTTGCGGATAGTGTTTGGAAATCCTGCCATGCTGATGCTGTAATTGGAATATGATTTCCAGCAGGTGAGGTGGCAGGCACAACTTGCAAGGCAGAAGGATCAGGAACATCTAGTGGACTCGACATGACACCAGATAACACAAGCGATGTCATCGACATTGGTTGCGCTGAATGAAGGTCGACGACCACACTCCTGGAGCAATCATCAGCTCCACCAATGCCCGGAAGAGAATCTTGTTTGGCCCCTCGGCCCCTACCTCCTCTTTGCCTTCCTCTGCCCCTCCCACCTCTTCCCACTCCACGTATTGCTCCTTGTTTCCCGTATCTACCATGTCCAGACCCTTCCGCTGCCTTTGACATGGTCGACTCAGTTCCATCTGCGTCTCCAGAAATCTCAGACTCCCACCCATGTCTTCCTCTCTTCCTTGTGCACATACCCTCACCGATATTGACGGGATGTTGTTCAACCTCCTGCTGCTGGCCAGCACCATTGTTCAGATCGCTCAAGCCAGAATCTCGGAGCGCATTCCCCTGAGCACCAATTCTTCCAAGATAGTTTATGCTCTGCGGAGTGCAAGAAGCTCCATCCTGGATAATGTCCAATCCAGGGAACCCTTGTGCATTCAATTCAACTGCTGCTCGCTGTGTATTACCCCCCACTGATGACAAGGCTAGGAACCCAGATCCTGAATAGTTGCCTTCCTTGCAGTATGGGTGACCATTTGTTGAGAGTGCATTCCTCTGCGGACTACAAAGCATATCATGGGTCACCTGTGGCGTCGATGGTGTCCTGCTGACAATTGAAGCAGAACAAGAGGTTGGCATGGTGATAGCAGCCACATTAGCGTTATTATCCAATGGCAGCATGCCTCCTCTGCTGATCTCTTCTCCCAAGGCCTTTTGGGCAGCATGTAATTGTGCAAATTCTGCTGTCTTCAGCCGGTAGAGTGTCTGCCTCTTCACGTTCTCTGACTCACAAAGAAGGTCACCACTAGCAAGAAGCGCACTCACCCGGAAATAGTTTCGCTTGTTGTCCAGTCCCAAACGCTTGAAAAGCTGCAAACGAACAAAGCAGAAATCAAACAAATCAACCAATAATAACTTCAACTCAAGTGAATTCTCATGTCAGGACTCAGGGGACATTTTCCTCATTCTGAGGTGTTTTGCAATGGACAAGTCAACCCTAATGTTGCTAACCAGCGTAAGTACAGGCAAGCCCTTCTAACCTCTGCAGTTGCTGGTACCTATTAGAATGAGGAAAAAGACCAGAAAGAAAACTGTGTGAGTCGCATGCTCCCGCCAAGACCTCTGCGCTGACCTAAGAACGCTCGCATAAATCCAGGGGCTGAAGAGGCAATTTCCAAACAAATATCAATCAGTCCTGCCACTCTTTTTCCATTACCATTCCCCTCCCCCGTTTTCCCTCCCAAGTAGACACACTCTGTTATTTCTCATGGATATGCTAAGTTCAGAATGCTTTCCTTTTGTTTGTCCACATGTGACAGGGTTTTACTATTTTTTCCCCACTACTCTCCTAAATTGAAACACAGCGGTACACAGCGGTGAAATGAATGGGCCCAGGGAGCAGCCCACCCTTCCCTTCCCAGCTCATAAACACAAGGTTATGAATCATAATCTGGGCCACAAGCATTCTTCCGCTTGGGGCATTTTACAGTGGGAGTGAAAGGATTTCACGCATCTCAGCGCCTAAGTCCCAGATTCGGTCCCAAAGTTCCTGCGTCCAGGGTACCGTGCTCCCATTCCGTAGATGCAGTAGGCCTGTCCGTTTCATATATTCTCTCTCTCTCTCTCTCTCTCTCTCTCTCTCTCTCTCTCTCTCTCTCTCTCTCTCTCTCTCTCTCTCTCTCTCTCTCTCTCNCCTGTTACGTACGTCCTCCTCTCTCTCCCTCCCTCCCTCCCTCCCTCACTGCACTGAGAGGGGGGGAGGCGAAGTAATAGATTAGGAATATTTTTACTCGTTTGATATTTTTTTTCATTTTATAAAAACAATTTTCTCTCCCGCCTTCTTTCAGTTACGCAATTCGTACAAACAAGAATGGACGACCCTGAGCGAGGGGACAATCTCGCAGGGGACAATTTCGCACCGCTCTCAGCCGTAAGGAGCTCGGTGTATGTGGGTGGGTTATGCTTACCCTCGATTGTCGGAGGGGGGGGGTATAACCCCCCACCCACATACACCCATCTCCTCACGGCTTCTTTTCTAGGCGGGCTTCTCTTCTGAGTGAGGCGGGCGCGCCGACTTTTCCCTTCGATAATCGAGGTAAGTATTAACCCAAAAAGAAACAAAATTATGGCGCTGTATCTTTGAGAGGCTGTCTCTTATACACATCTAGATGTGTATAAGAGACAGGGACTACACAACGCTCCAGACTCACTTGATGCATGACCGCACAAGACTGCAACAGCTCTTCCTGAACAGGCTCGAATGCTAACTGTGTTGATGCTTTGCTGCCGCCGAGCTCTGTACTTTGCAGCAGCTCCCTATCTCGGACCTTTGCAGACCACGCACCCCCCACTTGCCGACCACGGTCAACTTTCGATCCATCCCAAGTTTCCAAAGACTTTCTTGGGACTGAGCTGCCGAGTGGACTGGATGGACTGACACCACTGGACTTCGGCAATTGACTGAGCCTATCGGATCTTTTCCCTGGTCATTTTCTGACTTGTCAAGATATTCCAAGCAGGTGGCTGCAGAGTTGTCCAAATGGACAATCTGGAACAGTGGTCCAGCCCAGAGAGGCTCATAATCCAGATTCTTTGCCTTTGAGCCCTTCCTTTTTGAGTAGTTCAAATAAATGTGTTGTGAAAGAGTCAGGGCATGTTGTGTGAGAAAGTTGTAACAAACGGTGGATTTGAAATTTGAATACAGCCATACTTGATTCAGCATGGAGGGATGGCGTGTCCTGTTTTTCAATTTCCTGACGGGACAACAATCGAAGTCATGGAGCTGTGCAAGAGGGCAATGGCGATTGCATACTCCCAAACACATCTCAGGCGTCTACCAATATCTGCAGCGGTAGGGATGGGAAGAAGGGGGCAGAAAAACACGTTCAAAATCAAAATGTCAGGAGAAGGTGCTCCAAATATGACTGAGCACGCATATATCCAAACGAAGAAGCAGGGAGAAAGACACATTCAAAATTGAAATATCAGGAGAAGGTGCTCCAAATATGACGAAGCACGCCATTTATCCAAACACGAACAAATCTTTCGAAAGGGCAAATGGCAGGAACGTATCAAGAAGCATCTGAAAGGGCAATTGAAAAGGAGAGGGGAGACAATCAACCTTAATTTTAGAAACTACTTGACATTCACAAAGGTAGATGGCATGAGCTCGTGATACTTTGTTCGTCTCAGTTTCAAAATAACAGTTATCTTTGGTCTCATGAAATCCTCGGCAACTTGCACATCCAACCAATTGAATACTTGGCCAGGGAGACAAACCCTCAAGTCCACAATGGCAGAGGGAATAAACTTCAGTAAACGTCTCACGGAACAGTACAAAACTTCTTACATACACAGGACTCAGGAATGCAATTTGTGTGTGCTGGGCAAACCACCTACCTCTGTCACCAGTAGTCCAGCAGGGCCAGCATCATTGACCATATCATAAATTTGATTTTCCAGAGGAATCTCCGCCAACAACTCCGAAACTTCTCCCTGCCGCATTCCTCGTTGCATGTCGCCTTCACCATCTTCATCCCCTGGCCTGAGAGCATCCATAGAAAATTTCTTCAAGAGCCGTACACAATTGACCACCTGCAAATTTTACGAATACATTCAAGTCAAACACCAATGGAATACATTGCGCATTGAGTACAGTCTATGCCTCATCAATAACCTCTGATCATCAATCATTCACACAATGTCGCAGTAATCTCTTGGTTGTTTGAACTTGTTTCTTTCACACATAAGATATGGTAGAGAACGCTATACCAGAGTGACATCCATGAGCATTACAAAATGCCAACGGAGGACTCGGCAACGATATAACCTCAACATGAGACGAGAATGGCATAGCAACAGCAATGCAGATGGCATGCACAAAGACAAAAAGGAAATACATGTCCAGTCAACTTTAAAACATAACAAAACACAATGGGAAAGAGAGGAATAGCAGAAGGATGCTGTCTGACAATCATATGCGGGCCAAACGAAGTCAATTAATCATCTACAAAAGTTTCGAGTATTGAAAGGTCAGACAAAGGGGTTGCCGGTTAGGTTGTCGGTTTAGCAAAGCGGAAACGAAATTGCTGAGACACAAATACTCTCGGGAAGCACTACCCTTTCCAGGTAGGCATGGCTGCTTTGACAGCAGGGTAAGGGCCATTTCCTTTGAGATTGCTGGTCTTTAAAACACACCAGTACATCCAGGCCTCTTTTTGCCGAGGCAGATTCCCCCTCAGCGCTTAGCTTTGCCAAAACACCAGCGCGGTGCTTTTTTTTCACCTTTCGGCTGGCGCCAGCCAGCCATTTTGGTTGGCACCTTAACGATCTGGTTGCATTGCGCTGCAAGGAAGACAGTAGTGCCTTAAGGTGGCACTTGAAAAAGACGGGCATAGATACGGAGCTTCCATGCTTACCTTCTCATCCACTTGTGCTGGGAAGACCTGGATGACCCCTGCATCTTCAAGCCGTTTCTTCAACTGCAAAAAGGGACCACTTCAGCTGAAGCATCAGAAAAAAATGTCCATGAAATACTGCCGCAAGAATTGCAATTTGCAAACATAATGCCCAGAGTTGTATTTCCATTACCACCAGTTACATACCGTGTGCATCTCAAGCTGGTCCCACTAGTCCCACTTCCCTTCCCCTTTCCCTCAACTTTTCCCCTTCTGAGCTCCCACAGGTATTCAAGAGTAAAAGCTACCTGAATCACCACACTCGTTGTCCGTGACTTACGAGGAAATCTCACTCGAGAAAGTGGCATGCAAGAGCAACCTCACTTTTCCATCGCATCTTATTATACAACCTCGTTCGCTTTGCAAGTGCAGATAGATAAATGCAACTATACAAATTTCTACAAGTGTATTTCGAATCAGCAGCAAGTGGCGTGCAAAGCTTTTGAAGCTCATCTGACCAGGATAAACTGACAGGTTGACATATGCCAGAAGTGTGCACCCATTGCAGCAAAAGTGATTACAAAGAAAATCGACAACATTGTTTGTTTTGGACGCAACATCAGCACGGCTTGCTTACTCACACGTCTCCAGGCTCGATGTCCAGATGCCAGTCGATAGCCTAGATTCACCTTAAGCTCTGCTTCAACAAGCACCTGGATAATTGAGAATTCAATCACAAAAAGAAAAAGAATGGAATGGGTGTGTAAGCCTCACAAACAAATATATCAATTGTCTCATTACCCACGCTGTAGCAAATGATCAAGGGGTACAATTACGAGGAAAAGGAATACTACTTTGAGTTACCTCAGAAATATGGACAATCTTAATGTGCCTGCATATATCACACTGCAAAGTGTGGATTAGAAACCTAACCCTCTGTTAACATCCAGGTAACTGCAAATTCTCCTAGTTTGTTTCAGGCAGTATGGAAGGCATGTTCCTGCTTCCAATATTTTCCCATTGAAAGTCCAGTAGTTACATCAGCCTTGTGGCTGAATGGTACGCGCATGTGGCTATTGACCAACAGATCATAAGTTCAAATTGTTACGGACACCAGAACGGTGGGTTCTAGCTCCCTTTTGGGAAGCCAAAGAAAGTCCAGCAGTCCTAGTTACGATGCAAAATCCACTGATGCTGCAGCATTGAGCACATCAACCACTCACTTACGCACCAGCATCAGGCATTGTCATATTCCAGTTTCCTTATCTGGAAAGACCTTCCCTCCGTCCAAAATAAAAAAAGGCGGGAAGGGGAGGGAGGGGGAGGGAGGGGGGGGGAAGAATACATTGTTGACCCTCACCACATATGCAGCTTCTGCTCATTTAGTGCCAATTCTCACACGTGCAAGCCTTCCTTGTTTTTCCTAGTAGATTAAGAGCACCGTGTAGAAATTATCTTTCCTTCAATGCTGTGTCTGTTCATTTCTGGTGTCCATTCCGAAAGGTCCAAGCCTTCCTTGGTCCTTGATAAGGTTAAGGGAGCTGTACAGAAATCACTTACGCTTTAAGCCACAATTCCGTTTCCCTGGTACCTGTTCTGACGCGCCGGTGAACGCAAGGAAAAATCACAGTTTGGAGACACTTGAGGGAAAAGACTGGCAGCACCCGGCAAGATCACCCTTGGTACAGTTCGGTTCATTTAGGGACGGGCTGGTGGTTCAATGCAGTTTCGACTCATTTTCGGTGACGATTCTGAAAGGTGCAGGTCCTTCGCCGTCTTTGAGTGGATGACATTACTGCACCAAAATCAGTGTCTCTTCAGTGACGGCTGCTGAGCTCTGAAGCTCTCAATAACAAGCCAACCACCATGTGTTCAACATTCAACTGATCTCTTGTGTTCACAAAATGTGTTTTCCACACTTTATTCCACAGATCATCTGATCCAGTTGGCCAAAGCTGATTGAATCAAGCTACCCACTAGGAAAAAGAGGTACGCTGTAGGCATGCATTACCTACCCATTTACCTCAACCTCCTTCGTTTCCCCTTCCACTTTGCATCGACCTGCTTCACAAACATGTACAATTCTACCCAAGAGGGTTGCTGGTTATGGCACTGACTTTCCTGACTGGTGACAAAGGGATAAGAATTTAGATCACCTCAGCCATACTGAAAGGATTTCACGCTGACAGCCCCGAGTCCCAGTCCCAAAGTCCCAATTGGTCCCGGTCCCAGGATGTCCCAGCAGGGCGCGTCCTAGGGTCCATAGGTCAAAGTGTCGTAGGCCGGTAGAAGTCGGGTACCAAAGCGTCACAGGCCGGTAATTGTCTTCACGTACCGGCAGAGGAAGTCGTGTCCCAAAGTCCAATTTTGCAGCAGTGTCCCAAGAAAGTCCGGAGACTTCCGGAACACAAAAACATGCAGCAGAGGCCACGGACGACCGGTATCAGTCCGAAGCAGGCAAAACAAGTGCAAGGAATATGAGTGTGAACGATATACAGAAAACCAATGTTGCGAAATCACACAGATGTCGAGGTAGTCGTATCCAAGCAGAGAGTACACAATGCACCGAGAAACCATCCACATACAGCAATACAATGAAGTAATGAGCCAATGTTCAAGCCCGTAGGCCACACCAACACAGAATCCAAAGTCGCTCCTCCCTGTCTGGCGCCCAGCACCCAACCTACTCTGCTCGACTATCCTACCTACAGCTGGTTCACGCAACAGGCTCACTTCGACTCTCGAAGACAATGTACATGACTGTCAACTCCATAGCCGACCTCTCTTCGTGCACCAGGTACGCATCTCGTCACCCTCAATCAGACCTTGATTACCCCACACTCGCCTCCTTCCCTGAAGACCACCACATTGCCCGCTGTACCCCCTGGCGCCCAGCAGCCCGGCTATGGCCGCCTGCGCCCCGCTGCCCTGCAGTGCCCCTCCTTCACCACCTCGCGCCCCGTCAGCGCCTTTGGCAGCAGCGCAGCATCAAGCGAGAGYGCAGCAGCACTTCCGCATTGCCAGCACTGGCCAGAATGCCTGGCCTGGGCTGCCTTCCTCCTTTTGTGGAAGTGGCAGCCTCCTGGATGCTGCGTGTGGCCTGGTTGGAAGCTTCCAGTAGCTTCCGGTTGGGCCTCAGACCCTGTGCCCAGGCCCGAGACTACAGTTGAGGGCCTGGGCCCTTTACAGTTGGGTACGGCCTGCGTTTCCGGACTTGGGCTGTTTGCTGCATCTGTGCAGGGCTCCCAGGCAGGTGCGTCGGCAGTACTGCTTTTAGCAAGGCCAACAGCCTGCTTCCCAATGTATCGGCCCTGCTTTGTGTGTATGTGCCCAGGCGCAACTGTCAAGGCCTGAGCCAACTGTATGACGCAGCTTTGTGAGGCTCACACGTCTACCCAACCAACTGGCGTGCTGCAAGAGCCTGAATACCCACACATGGAAATGTCGAATTTTGCCTCTGACGAATATTCAGGGCAGCCTTCACTTAGGGCGGGCATGTGATGTCTGATAGGGCCCCTTGAGGGCTCGTTCCTCACACAAGTCTACTGCTACTATGAATAGCTGCTACAGTGCCAAGGCCAACAGATTGTTCATTCGCAAAGTTGCGGAAGCGCTGTTGGTTGCTTGTGGGCTTGTGTGACCTAGACAGAGGGTGCCGCTGGGGGAGAAGCAAGCAACCTGGCGAGGAAGTAGTCGACCATATGTAGGTTTAGGGAGGAGGAAGAAGGCCGCCATACCCGCAGAGGTTCGAAGTGCTACATCGCAGCTGTATTCAGGATAGATCCAAGTAGGGAGAGAGAGAGCCCAAAAGTTTCAGAGAGGCTTGAGCGATACAAGACTTGAGAGAGAGAGAGAGAGAGAGAGAATAGACAGACAGTGAGAAAGAGAGAGCGAGAGAGTTACACATCGAGGGAGGGGGAGTCGGGTACTTACCTGTGTCACGTTGCAGTAGCTGGATCGCGGCTGAGGCTGCTGGACACACCAACTCTCAAACTGTATAATATCATATTTTCGAGTGGAAATCCATCTGGCACTGATTCATGTGTCATCTCTCGGGTCCTGGTGTGAAACTCCCGTGTGAATGTTCTCTTCATGCATGTTGTGAGTTGGGTTGAATTCGTGAAATACATTCACAATCTCCGTTCCACCCAGTGATACTGCTCTTACTTCCATGGCAGAGTATAAACTAGGCTCCAGAACGGTTTTTGAGTGAGGTCCCAGCATGAAGCCTACCGTCTTCACCCGAATAGAGAACCCGGTCATTGTTGCTGTATCTAGAGATTCTAGACTGGAAAAGTTGCACGAAATATGGCTATAGTGACCAGGCGTTCTTTTCAGGTGAAGACTGTAGGACAGAGTCAACTATGGTGATTACTTCCGGCCCAAAAAATAACTGGGAGTAAAGAGGTGGACCTTTCTGCCCTATAGGATCAATACAGCTCCAGACCCAGTTGGTTATCCTACCTCTCCCTAGGCTATCTCAAGGGGTCCATATGGTCATCGGACGCGAGGACGTAAGTTGAATGGGGCAACAAGCTGGCCTTTGGCGATTCTAGCCAGATATACTATAGCACAAGCCTCCCATACAAGGGCACCCCTCTCCTCTGACGCTACGTGGTGCGACCCTTGGGATACATAGAATACCCTTGTCACAAGTACATGGACACCCTGAGCATGCATGGAATGTCCGAGTCACGAGAAGGCAGTTACGAAACAAAGGTGGAGCGATGGCCAGAGGTTTGCAACAAGCCAGTTAGGCTTTTCTTCAAGACGAAGAGAGACAAAATAGGAGCTCCACACCTTTAGGTTTTTCACTTCTGCAGTGAAGCTTTAGTTAAACTCACCTTCCCATCGACTTCTTCCAGCTTTTCACATATCATTCGCAATGCTGGCACGTCATCCGCAACAGCTGCTTTCCCCGCCAGGTCTTCACCTCCAAGTGGATCTTCCATACCGGACCTTCCGGTCATGTCAATCAGCATTTCCAACCGTTGGTTAGGGTCGAGCATCACTTCTTGTGCATATCGGGAGAGATACACAGTGTTCGTAGTGACTGCTTTCCCCTTGACCTTGCTATCCCGAATGAGTGTTGGCCGCCTCACCGCGAGCCCTAGCGCCTCAAGTCGCCGGACAACATAGAAATAATTGTTATTGTTCATATTGAACTCCTTTGCCAATAAATTCTGTAGCACCCCTTGCCGCCTGTTCCAGGCTCCAGGGAGTCAGGCGCACGCACACACAGACACAGGCACACAACAACATGCATACACACACACATACACACACACAGACGAGGCTGGGAGGAGGACAGGGGGAGGAGGAGAGGAGGAAAGGGGGGGCGCGGGAAGGGGAGAGAGAGAGAGAGGGAGGGAGAGAGAGAGAGAGTAAACAAAGTCAGCACACGTCCACCTGGCATCTGAACATCTGACCCAGTGACAATGATAAACAGATCAAAGTTCATCAAACTTGCATTTTCCGTGGATGTTACAGCAGTTAGCAGAGCCTAGGTCACACATAAGCACCAGCATGTTTTCCATGAATGAGACATTACTGACCTCCCCAGAGTCTATGCACAACCACAGTCCTGCATTCTCTAACAGTATTTCATGTCTGAAACGTGCAGGTGGATATCAGCAGCTAAGCGCAAACTTTCACCAGCAAACAAAGGTCTGATGACATAGATCAATATCAAGTGCAATATCATTCGTTTGTAACTTGCACTAATAGGAAGAGGACCTGACGCCAGAGTGGATACCCAGATTTGCGCCTTGCAGACTGCACACACGGCAGTTGAGAGACAAGTGTTCGGAAGAATAGGAGAGGGAACCCTATACTCAACTCTTCATGAAATTCCGCCTCACAGGCAGGCCAAGCCCCTGGCAAACCATTTCAGCCAATTTCATGAAAGTGTAACTTGCACTAATGGGAAAGAGGTAGTGAGGGCAGAGTGGATAGCTGGACTTGCACCTCACATACTGCACAGAGTGGGGCTGAGGGACTGAAGTGGAGAACGATAGGGAAATGATCTGAGAAGTTGGCCCCTCGGAGGAAGACTCGAAAGGCATGGCAAATGCATGCTTTGCACTGGGCCTGAAGGCCTCTTCAAAACTACCAGGCATATTGGGCAGGACTTTTCCAATAGGCCTGAAGGCCTCTTCAAAACTAACAGGCATATTGCACAGGACTTTTCCAATAGGCCTATAGGCCTTTCACAGGTCCTGGATGCAGGTGCAGCCAAGTCTCGCTCCTCCCTCTCCCAGCCCCATACCCACCATACTGCCCCCTTCCTGAAAGGCAACATCAAATATAATCAAAGCAGCTTATTCACTGTGGCCACCACAGCCTTCCGGCGTCCACATTAGCGACAGCTCCTCCACATGTTAACTCTCCTTCATGCAGCTCCGCTCTATCTTCTAGTCACACCATCGTAGCCACCATTGGCTATCACACCTGCCTGTCTCTTATCTCGTGGATCAAGTTATAGCAGCATCAGGCAACTGATGCTCCCTCACTAAGTGTTACATGCGGTGCCTGCAACAGGCTGCACGGGCCCCCTTTCAGGCCCGTGACGTTTTCAGGCCAAAAGCCTGAAAACAAGGGCCTACAGGCCCTGTGTCGTTTCAGCCTGAAAGCCTGAAAACAAGGGCCTACAGGCCCTGTGTCATTTCAGGCTAAATCAGGGCCTTTCCGGCCCTGAGTATTTCAGCCTGAAACTGAGGGCCATTTTCAGGCCCTCATCAGTCCGACCCGCCCTGAAACTCAGGCAACAAACCAGGGTTTTAGCACAGGCCATGTCATGCCTGTTTTCAAGACAACCCCTGGTTGAGCTTCAACGCCAGGGTCTGGCACGTTTCAGCATTGGCAAGAGCAGCGTCCTGGACGGCCCAGCACTATATAGGAC